TCTGGGTTTTACTTCGGCTTGACGGCCTCACATAGGTCTGGTAATCTGAGGGAAGAAATCGGTTGTAATGCATCTGCACATTATCCGTCCGTCGATCCTGACCGCCATCACTACCCCATAATTCGCTCCATGTTTCTACTGCACTGGGTTGTACCAATAGATAGGACTGGAATCCAAGTATCGAGTCGATTAGCTGAATTAATTCGGCCTGTTTTTCCTCAAAATCTGATTCTTCTCCATCAGCGCGGTTGGCCTCAAGCCAAGCGATACTCTCATTGCATGCCGAGATTATCTTGCGTCGGTCATTCCATGATAGCCTATTTCGAGTTTCATCAGCTTCCATCACTTCGCGCAATGTGAATGCATAGTTCTCGAAGTTGTTTATTGCTATTACCAAGGCGCTATGTTTGGAGTCCTGCAATTTAAAGTTCTCCGCCTCATCGACGAGATGTTTAATTTCCCGCCTGGACAGACCTCCCTTGTCGTTATTTATAGTGATCCTATTTGATCGTCTACTATTCTTCTCGCAGGCTGAAACAGACAGTATTCCACTTGTGTCAACATCGAATGTCACCTCTATTTGGGGCATACCTCTGGGAGCTAAGGGAATTCCTGTAAGTTCGAACTTACCAAGTAGATTATTTCCTTTCGTCGTACTGCTCACACCTTCGTATACTTGGATCAACACACTAGTTTGATTGTCCACATAAGTCGTGAACAACTTGGTCTGTTTGCACGGAATCGTGGTATTCTGACTTATTAGTGGGTTCATGATGCCACCAGCCGTCTCGATTCCTAGAGTAAGTGAGGTAACATCAAGTAAGAGGAGATCCTTTATGCGTTCTGACGCATCACCTTTCAAAATAGCCGCTTGTACAGCAGCGCCATAGGCTACTGCCTCATCAGGGTTGATAGATTTGTTCAATATTTTTCCGTTGAAAAAGTCTTGCAGTAGCTTCTGAATTTTGGGTATTCGCGTTGAGCCTCCCACGATAACTATGTCATCGACAGCCTCCTTGTGGATGTTGGCACCCTTAAGGGCCTTTTCTACTGGGATTAATGTGGCCTTAAACAGGTCTGAATTGAGCTCTTCA